TTCTTTTTCCCCGTTCTGTGTGATTTTCTATGTTGATATCGCTGTTAAGACTTAATCTATTTTCAAACAAACTTTAATACCTTTTTTTCTGTGTCATTCCAATTTTCAAGTTCATTTTCCATTACTCCATCAATCCGAATATTGTTTCTTCTTAGTCTCTCCTCAAGCTCCCTTAACTTTTTTTTCCCTCATCACCGATGTTAATACTACTCTTATTTTTTATTTTTTTTTCCAGTTCATTAACTTTTTTTTCTTGGATTTCCTGGATGGCGTTAAAACTTTCTTTAATATCTTTATTCGTGTGTTCTAAGTTTTTTAATTAATTTAATTTTCATTAATTTTTGTTACCTCAGCCTTTAACTTTTCGTTTTCTTTTTCTAAACCATTAATTCTATCGCTTGTTAACTTAAAATTTCCACTAATTATGTTAAGAATATCTTTTTAAGGTTTTTTAAACATTTCTTTAAAAATTTCGCGTACTAGTTTTACTGATTAACAGAAAAAAAAAATCAATAGTTTTAACACATATTTAAATATGTGTTAAAACTATTGATTTTTTTTTGTTTAAATTATACTTTTATATAATAGTAGATCTCATTTATATAATAGTAGATCTCATTTATATAATAGTAGATCTCATTAAATATATTTATTTAGGGGGGGGGGGGGAAGGGGTACAAAAACTGACATCATATATAAGGGGTAAGGAAAGGTCGGCCAAAAATTGACAGTTTTACAAAGGGGGAAGGGGGTCAAAAAATTGAGAAAAATCATTGACATCATTTATGGACAGCCCATAAACAGATATATTCTTTAGCATAAATATCTAAATATCTGCTTTAATTGTTAAAAGTTATTTCCCGTAAAATTCATTTCTGAGCCCGTAAGTAACAATAACTAATTTGATTTAAGATCTATAAATAAATTGCTAAAATAATCTTTTGCATAATTTTACGCAGAATAATAACTACTGGTACCTTAAAATAAAAGTGATTTTTTGGATAACCATAAAAAATTGTGTTACAATAGCTGAAAGGTAATCTATAGAATTTGAACATACCTTCATTTAAATACTCAGCAACAGTTCCACAAAATAAAGCTTGTTTTACCATGCAATTTTAAATTATAGGTTTTATTTTATGGCAATAACTTTGCAATAATTGTTTTACTTCTGTTGAAATTTTGTCCGATAATTTCTTTATTGTTTTATGTAAAATTCAAGTAAATAAGTATATAAATGAATTTCAGCTGTACTATCATGTAGGTTTTTTCTAACTTTAAATGCAGATAAGATTTTAAAAAAACTAAAAGGTTATATTTTAAGTTTTTCATAATACTTTTTAATTTTGTCTTTACAGTTAAGGTATATTAAAATAAGACCAAAGTTTATTTTTATGTGAAGACCTAAAACAAAATATCAAACAGCTTTATACAGAGACAAAATAGATTTAAACGAAAACATTTTAAGCAAATGCTGTGGATTATTGAAAAAAATAAAACTGTTAAACAAAGTGATTATAATGTTGATCCTAGAACTATAAATACTTTAGATGGTGCTAAAATTGGTAAAAATAAAAACCATCTCTCAATTTTAACAAAGGATAAAGAGAATGCAATAGTATTGTATGCAAAAAATAAAAATAGGTGTCTTCAAAGTATTACAAAAAAAGAACTGCCCACAGTCATTTTAAATATAATAAAGTATCGTATGCATGCTAATAAAAACCTGAAAAATCATCGTTTATACTGCAAGCTTTCACCTAATGCAGAAAAAGCAATAATCACAAATAAACTATAGCGTTTTTTCTGGTTAAGATTTATGGCAAAGCACCCCAGTTTAGCTCAAACAAGACAAGAGAGAGAGTTTCTTTGAACCGTGCTTAAACTGCATTAGAGAAACTAGTGAAAATCATTCAAATGAACTAGCACCGTAGGAAGGAGTGTGGTACGGTATAATGGATACTAAACGCATATTTAATCATGATGAAACTCCACAGTTCTTAACAGGACTGTAGAGCCGGAGTCGCGATATTTTTAGTGGAGTCGGAGTCGCTAAAAAAAATCGCGACTCCGACTTCAATAGTAAAACTTCTAGGTATTGCAGGTGCATGCACAAAATATTCAATTAACCTTGCATTCATACTAAACCTCAAAGAACTTTTCATAAATTTGGCACAAAAAAAAATTATTAACTTATTGCGTAATATTTTTTAAAGAACTCAAAGAATTTTTCATAAATTTTGCTTTGGAGTCGTACCTTTTTTCGAAAATTTCAAGGACTGGAGTCGGAGTCGCTACTTTTTTTTTACGACTCCACTTACTGGTTTGTAAACTTTGGAGTTAACGGGAGTGCAAGTGGATTATTGTTTGCTGAAAATAGTGAAATTTGCAATCAAATGATCTGCGAGAAAAGAGATTGCATTACTATTCACCCGCTTGTATCTAGAGCTAGGGATGTAGTTATTTGCCATGTAATATTGTTAGGTAAAGGAGTAACCAGCAAAATGGCACAAAAATCCACTGTAGAAAAAGATTCCAAACTTGCTTACATCAACTACAGAACATGGAGTACAAGATCACAACTGCCTACTTAATTTCTATAAATCCTTTGATTGCATCATATCAGAGAAAATGTAGAGAGACTTGTGGTGGTACTAACAGATGGTCACTCTTCAAGGTTTGACGTAAGTGTCCTTCATTATTGTCGCCTTTTTGTTGGTCCACCAGGCACAATAGGTGTAACACAAATGTTAGATCAAGTTTACACCATCCTTATTGTCAACGTAAATCTAAACTGTTTTCTAGTATGATGACAACTGATCGTTGTTTATGGAAATATTATGAGATATATTGTCATCATGAACAACAAAAGAATCTTTAACCAAAGCACTAAAAATATTGCAGAGTTAGGTCTAAATGTTAACTAGATACAAAATAGTAAATTTAAACAAGAGCGAGTTGTATAGCAACTATTCAGTCTCCTCAGACCCCAAAACAATCCTCTTTACAAAAAGACCTATTTGTTTCATCCCCTTACGATGTTAGAACAGGTTCTTGTGATTATTACAAAGCTTGAAAATGCATATAGAGTTATCCATGATCTTACTGAATCTCCATTACCTATTGAAGATGCTCCTGATTGGCTACAATATTCAAAGATTACCCCAAAAGATATCTTTAGAAAAACCATAAAAGTAACTCAACAACATGGATCAATGGAGGGGGAAAAGGTCTAAGAAGCGGCAACTGAAACAGAAAACGAGAAAATGAAAAAAGACGAGAAGAAGCTGGTGAATAAAAAAAATTATTCAATAATAAAAGAACAATTTATCAAATGCAAAGATCAATGTAAATGTAAAGAAAGGTTGTTGTGTATTTGGCTACAAGCAGTGCCCTATTTGCAATAATATTTCAAGTCAGTTTGTAACAAGCAATCCTGCAAAGTTGTCGGTGTTAAACCAAAAATGATAGAAGCCTCTGCATTGATCATCAATATTAACTCTTAAACATTTTTATGAACATTTTTTTTTTTTTTCTGATTGTGTTTTATTTGTTTATTTAAAATTTATTTGTTATTTGATAAATAAGTCATAAAATTAAATTTGACAATGAAGATAATATTTAGGAGGTTTTAGAAAACCAATGTACACCTTAAAATCAGATTACGTAGGTTTAATATTTGTCTTGAAATATTCAATTGAAAACAACAGGTTTTTGCAATGTTTTTTGATTCCCGTAAGTAACACAGCATATAAACAACTATAATTCCTTAACTTATATCTAATACTGCTGAGTTAGGTTAGCATAATGATGTCATACTCACTTAACGTCAAATAGCCTGCTGCCGGGGGCGTCAGTACATTCATCGACTGACAAATAGCCTGACTCGCAGTGGAGTGCTGCTACATCGACTGAGGGTTTGGTATGGGTCAGCAACCTTTTCATTTATTATTCTACTAAAAACGCTCACTTAATTTAGGCTGCAAAAAAAGTGAGCAATTGCGCATATAAATATGCTATAGTAGATAATATATATAATAATTGAAGGAAATTTCAATATACAGGAAAACAAATAAATGATTTTGGGAAAATAAATACATATATAAACATCGAATTTGTCGCGTTATTAAAAAATAAATATTTAATAACGCGACATTACACACACACACACATATATATTTATATATATATATATATATATATATATATATATATATATATATATATATATATATATATATATATATATATATATATATATATATATATATATATATATATATATATATATATATATATATATATATATATATATATATATATATATATATTAGGCCATCCCATAATTTTTTTTTGACAACCAAATTACATGCGGAGTCGCTAATGAGTGGCGTAGAGATCATATTTATAAGTCAAATTTTTTTATTTTTTCCTGTTAGAAGTATTCGCGCCGGTCGTTCGAAGTTACGCACCAGGCAATTTATGACCAAAATTGAGCAGTTTTCAACACAACGGCGCGAATCGATTCAACACAACGGCGCGAATCGATTCAACACAACGGCGCGAATCGATTCTGATGTCGAATCCAGTTAATTTTTTCATTTATATTCCCTTCATGTGTTACCATATCAAAAAAAACACTGTGCTTTTCGAGTTGAGAAATACATAATGCCTACCGTTCACTGATTTTGATAGAAAAATCAACATTTGTGTTATTTCAAAGTGCCTTTTTGTTGATCTATGAGGTCATTTTCAGTCATGGTGCAATATTTTTTTTTTACTTCTTATTGGTATCAAATGATGTTTTTAAAAAAAATTACTTTTGTTGGAACCTAAGATTAAACAAAGCCAAACTTAAAGTGGTTACCGCCAAAAGATTTGTTATAGGACTTTAAATATTTTGCTGTAGTTTTAACTAGATCAAAATGTGTTGATATATTTCAGAAAAGATCTACTTAGATTTTGTGTGTGTTATTTTAAGTTCTCATTAAATTTTAAGTGCTCATTGCAGAGCACCGCAGGAAATTTTTTTACTAGTAAACGTCGTTTATATGACTAAACCGGCATCAATCCTCGGACCTCCGATATTAAAGTAAGAACTCTAAGTACTGCCGTAGCTGCTATTATATTTATTATATATGTATCCATTCTTCGTCTTTTTAAATGGCTTTTTCCAAGAGTTTTTCATTTGGAGAAGGTTCTGAAGTTTTTCCTCGCTCTTCGCACGCTCTACATTATCTTGAATGAGATTTACTGCACGTTCTGATGAGTCGTTAACAACTTCGACAGATTTTACGAAGCTTTGAAACTCATTGTATCCTGGAAATTCTTTCCAAAAAATCTGAGGAAGTTTCATCCATAGACATTTTTCAGAAGTATGACCTAGGATATCAAAAATTAACCAGGAATCTGGCGAAATATATGATTCAAGACCTGGTGGTTGATCTATATTAAACAATAAACTGCTATCCGAAAGGATTTTAGATTTGGTTCTAACCGCTCCTACATTTTTAATGCCACTCCGTTGGGTTGAATAAAGAACTTTTGCCATCTTTACCATTTCGATGTAGTGATCTTTATTAAACATGCTAGCGCCAGCACCACGGTTGAAGGAGCCAAATACCACATATGGTTTCGCCATGATTTTAATACCACTTCTCCGGCAGGCTCATACGCAGTGTAATGGCACATCTGCCAATAGTTTCGTTGATCCTAAGAGTGTGAGTTAAAAATAATGCAATACAGATAGTAAGTAAGGTTGATAATGACACGTCTAACATCTAATGTAATAAGTGTCATTTATTTATGTCATTATTCTAAAATAATTTAGTTGGTATTTTTTTGAAACAAATTATTCTTAAATTATGAGACTAATATAAAAATATTTAGGAAATTAAGTTTTACTTCAAAAGCTGCAGAATCAGAAAACTCGCAGGTCAAAAACCACGATGCCCAGAAAAAAGAAATGTAGTCAGCCATTCTGTTGATCTCTTTGACAATTTCATCACTCAGAAAAAGAACCTGTCTGATCTTAGGGAGAAGCAAATTGAACTTCATATAGTACAATGTCTTTGCCATGAACCTGGCGTGTGAAATAGCTCCGGTTTTGTGAATTTTATACCTAACTGTCTGATCTTCTTCAAGGAACATAACTACAAGCTCTGCCAGTTCACAATAATCTTTGCGCTTCTCAAAGGTTTAAATGTATATAATTTACAACTTAATTTAAAAACTTTTATGTTTCTTTTTTCTATTTTTATAGTTGGTATATATATTTGGTATAAAGTTGTTTTAAAGTAATATATTTCTTTATTTTACTATCTGACTATTTCTTAACTTGTTTTTATCTATCAGGTCATTGCAAGTTTTTAGCGCCAATAGAGCCTGCGTCTCCAGCCAGGTATCCTTAACATTCTGGTGATTAAATTTCAACAGCATCTTCTCGTTGTTTGCACCAATACCATGCCAGTTCTGCTTTAGAGATTTAAATAGTTGATTCTCTGGTCCAACAGATTTGTTTACTGCAACTTCATTGCAAAAGTGTTTTATATGGAGCTCTCCTACATGATGGCGGCAGGCTAACAAGAGCAATGGTCGGCTATGAAAATTAGCTAATCTTGCACAAGCTCCTTTTAAATAGCCAGTGTTTAAAGCAGTGGTATCAAAACAAACTCCGTGGATGAACTGCCCTAGATCAAAAGAATCTAATAGATTTTGAATTGCTGTGAACTGAGCCTCACCACTGCCGTGTTCCAACCCTGGAGCGCCTAACAGATGGGTCTGATTGTCATGCCTTATAAGCACACAAATTCGGTCTTTTGTCTCATCTATGCTACCCGTATAATCTTGGATAATTTTGCCATCAAAATGCACAATGATGGGTTTGCCGCTCGTCTTAACCATACTGGTTATGTTTGCTCAAAGAACACCAGCATCATTTCTTATTATTGTATCAAAAATCCTGTGAGTTGAGCTGTGGGATAATGTTACATTTTCTATATCTCCACCGGCATTGCAAAGAAAAGAAGAGATAAGTGCTGTTGCCTGGTTAGTAGATATTCCCATCCCAATAGCAGTTCTGGCAGTTTTTGAAAAAATGTCTTTTGGTATCTTTAGAGCCATACTTTTAACAGTTTTCTTCGTTGATGCGTTACCAATCTTAAAATCATCTTCGGAACATGTATCATTAGAGTCATCAGTAATCATTTCACTTTCAGAGGAAAATCCGGAGAAATCATGGAAAGTTTTTTTTACTATACCAGAGGTTTTAGAGTTATTTCTTGATGCAGATCTATTACTAACATCTACAAACCGACCGTCCAACGCTCCAATCACCATCTTTCTGCAACTTATCTGGTCCCGTATGAAGGTTAAATCTTCAATCTTATCTGCTTCCAGTCTTAGCCTATCAGTCTTTAAACTACGTTCAAGAAGCGTAATGTCTTCTCCAGCCCAAAATAATCCTTTAAATTTAATTTTATTAGGTAAGAACAAGAAAAAGCAAACTATTTACTTCACAATAAATTAGCTTAGTACTGGCTAGATAATCTTAACATTTAATATTTATCCCCTACCTGTCATTGGTTTCTCAAATTTATTTCTTGTCTCAAGATAACCAATTCCAATTTTTTTCTGGGATTTCTTCAATGCTATGTACTTTTCTACATACTTCTTGACATGAAACATCATCCTTTTGTCACTGATGACTTTGAAGCCAGTTTTTCTCCAAGGAATTGAGATTCCGGAAAGGATACAACTGACATTGCAAAATTCATTGTTTGTTATGCATTTTAATCTATGAAGAACTTCCGTAAATTAAAAACATAACTTATTAAATTATTTTTACTATATTTGACATAAAACATGAAATAACGTTCTTATCTATTGATTTCTAAAGCTAAAAGCTTACTGGAAAGTTTTGGACATTAAAGGACAAGCGACGAGATCCTTCAGTGCTTTCTTTGGAAATTGTTCTCTTAAAAATAAGTAGCGTTGGATAACGTGAATCCTTAGGGGCAGCTGGTTTGTTTCCATTCTATCCAGAGTGACGTTAACTAGGAACATGTTCTTGCGACTCGATCTTCTTTTTTTAAACCCCTTCTTGGGACAGGGATACACCTCAGATACTTTTGTTGTCATAGCTAGCTTTAAAACAAAATTTCATAATGTCATTGATCACTCATTGATCACTCATTGATCATAATGTTAATCACTATAAACATTTTCATAATTTGTATGAAGTTTAAAATTTTTTAAAAGTTCATTTAAAATATTATAAATGTTTAAATAACCTAATTCATTTAACTATAATTATAAAATATAACATGCATTATTATGTTATGTTGTTATAATAAACTTACTTGAGGTGGAAATAATAGATTTTTTAAAATTAAAAATTGTTAAGTAGCGCGATAAAAAAATTGTTTTCTAAACTGCGCTTTTTTTAAATATTACCCGATTTTTGCGTTTCTAAAGTACCACCTGGTAACAAATATGATAATAATAAAAATGCGCACAATCGGTATGGATAAAAACCTTCCGTTCTTTGTATTGACGCAGTTAAATTGTTAAAGGTTTATAAATTTCTATTCGCGCTGATCATTTGAAACTGCCCATAAAAACTCAAAAAATGTAAAAAAGTTAAACTTTAAACGAATGGCGCGAGAATAAATACTCATCCAGAAAAAAAAAAAATTCATTAACAAACCAATATCTTAGGAACATTTTGAGACACTCCGTAAAATAAAATTCGTTCATGAGGGTTAAAATGGGATGGCCTAATATATATATATATATATATATATATATATATATATATATATATATATATATATATAATATATATATATATATATATATATATATATATATATATATATAGTATTGGACAAAACAAGTGCAACCAAATAATGCTAATTTAATTTCTTTATATAAAAGTGCTGCATTTTTTCAATTTAGAGAAATAAATATGTAACTGTTTAGAGACAACGCTCTTCAATTTTTATTCATCACAAAGTTCACAAAGTACACGAAAATTATTGAATTAATCAAAAGTATTAGAAAAAGTTGATTTCCTTCTGGACAAAACAAGTGCAATTCCACAAAATGTTGACCAAGCTGTATTTCGCTATTAATATTTTGTGGCAACTCCTTTGTTGTCGATCACAGCCTTGCATCTTCGAGGCATATATTCGATTAGGTGATCAATGAAACTTTGTGGAATCGCTGCCCAGGCCTTTTGGATTTGTTCAAACAGTTCCTTATTACGAACCACCACGAAGTAATCCTTATTACGAACACCTTCACGATTAATTCTGCGGTTGATGATCTCCCACAGGTTCTCGATAGGGTTGAGATCCGGAGATCGATGCGGCCAATCCATCACCGATAGGTGGTTGTCTTGAAACTACTGCTTGACTACTTTTGCAGTGTTTCGGATCGTTGTCTTGCTAAAAAACCCATTTCATTGGCATATTCCATTCAGCATGAGGTAACATAACATCTTTCAGGATATTTTTATAGATGAAACGGTCCATTATTCCATCGGTTCGATGTATTGGACTTAGACCTTTAGCAGAAAAACACCCCCAGACCATTACATTGCCTCCACCATGCTTCACGGTCTTATGGCGAACTGTCCTGTTCATCACTGAACAGGACAGTTTGCCATTCCTGCACATTCCAGTCAATATGAGATATAGCAAACAGGAGTCTTTTCTTCTGGTTCTATTGTGAAATCAGTGGTTTCTTTGCAGGGCGTCGAGTAAACAATCCGGCTTCAACAGCACGTCTTCTGATTGTTCGGTCCGATACAGGGAGCTCTAAGTCCTTTTGTATCTCGACTGATGATATCCGGGAATCCGTCTTGATGGATCTGACGATCATAGAATCCTCTCTAGAAGTGGTGGAACGCAATCTTCCACCTTTGTTATCTGCTGTCAACTTCCCCGTATAACGATATTTGGAACAGTCTTGATACGGTCCATTTTTTCATACGATATTTATCACAAATACTTTTTTTGTGTCATTCCACTTACGTAATTGCTAATAATTTTCTTTCTTAGTTCCAATCCACTACTGTCGGGAGCCATTCTTGCACATGAATTCATAAAAATAATAAAAATAAATAATCACGCTTCTCAAGGCTTACCGTGTTACATTTACCTTGTGATGATACAATAATGCTCTGTGGAACACAACGTCTTGGTTGGATGAGGACTGTATTGATGTAATGAAACACTTGTTGTATTTCACTTCTTGTATTAATGTTCTTTGATAAAACACTTTGAGAAAACTCACTTCGATAAACTGTCTTGATAATACTGACTGATTGACTTCCATATACTGACTGAATTACATGGCTCTTATATAATAAAATGAACCTGTGAGCCTGTTTTGGAAGATTCTAGATGCTTCTTTTCGATGCTTCTGAATGTTTCTGGATGCTTCTTCTAAAAACTTCTGCATGCTTCTGGATACTTCCTTTTATTATTAAAGACTTAAGAAAATGATACAAACCAAAAAAGTTGCATTTGTTTAGTCCGCTGCAAAATGGCACTTGTCAACGAAATTCTGCCAGTGTGCTGTCACATGATTGCTCATGTCATGGCATGCTATGACTCCAGACTCCTGAACTGTTTGCTGTGGTAGTATAGTTCGCTTCATTTTTAAGACATGTAAAATTAAGAACATTTTTTAGCATTGTTCGATGTTGGTTGCAAATTTTTTGTCCAATACTGTATATATATATATATATACATATATATATATGATATGTTATGAAAAATTATACTTAATGATTATTCAAGTGGTTTGATCTGACCGATAAAATTAATGACTAATTACCACTAGAGTTTCCAAGAAAACCATTCGAGATTTTGAAAGGTCAGGTTATTCCTATAAAAATCAGGGGATTTTAAAGTCTAATTAAAAAAAAAAAGGAAAAATTTAAACTGACAGCTGACAACTGACATATATATTTATCTTTATATATATACTAACAAATTTTTTTTTTATTATAGTCATCTGTTTTAGGGTTTAAAATAAATTATTTGTAAATTTCTAAAAATTTAATATGAAATTCTTTGAACTTTTCCAAAAAAACTTTTAATTGATCTTCTGGCGGAAGAATAGTCAAACTATAATAAAATAAAAAGATAATGACACAAAATAAAAACAACAAAAACTTAAAATTTAAGATAATTTATATAAAAGGTTACGGAAAAAAAACGACAAAGAAAATTACCGAAAATGATAGGTTCCTTCCTTTTGACGGAAACCACTACCTGGTACTACGCATATTCCTGTTTGTTCAAGAAATTGCATGCAGTAAAAGAAATCAGCAGCTTGATCTAGTGACTGAATAATATTAAATATTACGTTTAATAAAATGCTGAAACGCACACAAAAACAAATGCAAAATAATTAATAATAGAAAAAAAAAAAAGGTAAAACCTTTGCGTGATCAATAGCTTTTTGAGGCAGATGTATTTGAGGAAAAGCGTACATAGCCCCCTGAACTTCGTTGCAGGTAACTCCTTCTATTTTGTTTAAAGTTTCGTACACCAATCGAGCTCGTTTCTTCAGAGAGGACAAAACGCTGAATTTTTCCTTTAAACCAGTAAGCACAAATTAAACAAGAATTATAGGTAATTTTTTTTTTCTAATTTATGATTTATATGTTAACTCTTGATTATTTGCCGAAAAAATTGTAATGCTAAAAAAACAGTTTATACACACACATATATTATATGTGTGTGTATAAACTGTTTTTTTCTATAAATAAAATTTGGGAATGTTTTACTTGTTATCTCAAAATTGCATTTTAATTTTCTTTCTACTTAATATTTAAGTGTTCTGAATATTTTATCAGAAATATTTTATTAAATTGCACAATTATTTATATATTAGTATTTATAGTTAAACATATAATTAAGCAAAAAGTTAAGAATATGAAATATTTTTAACAATATCTTATAATATTTTTAAATCTGCGACATAAAATAAAACAATGTTATCTGATAGTAATATATATGGGATCACACTCTCTATTTTCTGAAACCATCAGCAGGCACTTCAATTGCAGGATATATGATCACCTATGGAATTAATTTGAGTTAATTGGAAATGAGCAAATTGTACTGAAGTAGGAGTCAATACATTCTCTATATGTAGATACATTCGTAGGTAAAGAAAAAGAGTTGCCTAGAAGCTAGAGATTTTTTTTTTGGAAAAATTTTTTTTTCGTCATTGAAGTTCTGACAAAGTTATGTGAAAAAAAAAATTTAAGGAAAAAAAAAGATATTTTAGAGACAATTTCTAATTAATGCCAAGTATTCCTTAAGATTTAACTAATAAATCTTGAACAATAAATCTTTAGTATTATTTCTTCACAGCAAATATTTTCCTATTTTGTCATGATTATGTATTATCCTGATTTATTGTGTGTTTTAGATATATGTTTGTCTATAAGCAAGAGAATGCGAGAAAAAATGCAAAAAGAAAGAAAGATAACAGTTATTTGCTCTAAAAGCATATATATATATATATATATATATATATATATATATATATATATATATATATATATATATATATATATATATATATATATATATATATATATATATATATATATATACATATATATATATATATATATATATATATATATATATATATATATATATATATATATATATATATATATATATATATATATATTTAATTATTCACCTCCCCATAGCCCGAGGGGGCCGCTACAGTCGAAGAGGCTACTCATTTTTTGTTGTTGTTGTTGTTGTTGAAAATCGTGATACAACCCTTTCTTAACTCTTTAACTCTAAACCTTGACATGCAAGGCCGCTGCGCGGAGAAATTAAGTTGAGCGCGGTATTTCCAGGGACGTGGTGGGAGCCGAACTCCGAACCTCTCGCTTACAAAGCAAGCGCTCTTACCACTACACCACTACCGCATAATATATATATATATATATATTTAAATTTTTATTTAACTTTTTTTGGCAATACTTAGTGCAACAATTTATGTCATTAATAATTGCTGAATATATTTATATCATTAATTTTTTTTTTTGTAAATTTTTTTTTATTGTTTAAGGAACACATTTCTGGCAGCAGATTTTCTAGAAACTTTCCATTACTTGACAGAAAAATCAGTCACTTGTTAACAGAAATATCTGTTTAAATACGGAAATATCTTCTGTTATTACGATGATAGATATTTTCCATAATTTATACTGAAATTTCCTTTAATACTTGATTTTTCCGTAAAATAACAGAAACCTTCTGGATGACAGTTGAATGATGATATATAAAATCTGCTATAACAGTGTAAACTTTAATGCTTTTGTACCTTGTATTTTTATATGTAATTTAAATTTTTTTCTCCCCCCGAAAACCGTACTTTTAAAAATGGGTTACAAAAAAAATTTACTCAGTAACTAAAAAAATTAATTTTTATAAAAAATAAGTCTTACTTGAACAAACAAGTCATACGAAGGTTCACCTATCTTGGGTGGGTTAACGAGACAATCCAAAACTAACTGTCCGGTTACATTTGAGCCCAGTTGAGCAGATTGTAACTTATTTAAATGATAACGAACTTCATTACTAATACCAACAACTTCAACATACCCGCCTCTCAGTCCGCATCTAAAATAAAAACAAAAGGACAATATTTTTATTTATATAGAAATACATATATTTATATATAAAGAAATATACAACTTAAAATATCATACTCTCCCAAGAAACCTTTAGAGCAAGAATGCATGGATGCTAACTGCAAATCCTTAGCAACAGATCCCATCTCTTTCATTACCTTTTTAAAAGAATAAAAGGTACATTCTTCAGCATAAACATTATCTTGATAAACTTCATCAGCAATAATAAATAAACCTTCTTCTATTGCAAACTTGATTATCTCTTGAATGTTTTGATAAGAAAGTACTTGTCCAGTTGGATTACCAGGATTTATTACACAAAGACATTTTACAGAGCATGTTTTTCTTGCATCATCCAAAGAACGTTTTAATTCTGATATATCCAGTGACCAGTTTTTTTCTTCATTTAAATAATATCCTACCTGTAAATAGTTTGATAAATACAATAAGACGAAAGAATAATAAATAAAAATGCACACTCACAGGTGTGTGTGTGTGTGTGTGTGTGTGTGTGTGTGTGTGTGTGTGTGTGTGTGTGTGTGTGTGTGTATATATATAACAACAATAACAACAACAAGATATTTATTTTCCTCAAAATTTACAATCATATAATTACAATAATATATTAATAATAATAATAAAAATAATAATAATAATAATAATATCAATGATAGTAACAATAATAGGAATAAGAACAATTATGTTATGTTATAAATAATAATAAAAATAATAAGAATATCTATAATACTATAAATAATAAAATCAAAATATAATTATTAAGAATAAATATAAAGTATTGATTGAAGAATGAGTCACTCATGCAGAATCCTGATCAAAGGAGTGACACCAAATAATTATATTAATAATATTAATTTAAAAAATAATAACAATAAGAACTTTATTCATTAATAGAGCAAAAGTAACAGAAAAACAATAGTATTAATGTAATAATAATAGTAATAATAAAAACAGCAAATTAATAAATAATAAATTAAATAATAAAATTAATAAATTAAACAATAGTATTAATGTAATAATAATAGTAATGATAAAAACAGCAGTAATGAAAGTATTAAATATTAATGACAAAAATAATAAAGTTTCTATAAAAATATTAAGAAAAAAAAAGAAAACTAAAGAAAGTTAGTAATGTTAAAAACTTAGAATAAAATTTTTTTTAGAATTTGTTTAAATTTATATTGTTTTAAATAAAAAAATGAAGATAAATTATTTTAAAATTTTATTTTTTCAAACTCATTCACAACGCACACAAGACTTCGATTCCATTAACTGATGCATTGCTGTGTAATTGAATACTTACCATACCTCAAAGTTTTAAAGGGAGGTACATTTAGTTTTCCAATATTGATGTTTCTAGTCAAATGTGAATGTATAAATCGAGTCTAAGTGAAGAAGGTTGTAATGGAGGAAGGTAAATTTTTATTAAAGTTTCTATATTATGGAGTTGAAAATTATTTATTCCGATTGATTGGCGCTGAGCTGATAACAATTTATTAATATTACAGTTGCCAATTTGCCCCCAAACTTGACAACAGTAGATGAGATTGAAAAATACAGATTCTTAAGGGTAGTTTTATCAACATAATGACAAATTATTGAAAGCATGCCATTAGCTCGATTAAGTTTTTTACGGAGTGCATGCATGCATATATATATATATATATATATATATATATATATATATATATATATATATATATATATATAGATAAACATATATATATATAAATATATATATATATATATATATATATATATATATATATATATATATATATATATATATATATATATATATATATATATGTTTATATATATATATATGTTTATATATATATGTATATATATCTATATACATTTAGCATTTCAGTTAGCAAGTTTTGAATTATAGTAGGCAAATGTCTAATATTGAGGACTTTTTTTTTTTTTTTTAGGTCTCTAGTTGGCAAAAAAAGACCCTGTATATATATATATATATATATATATATATATATATATATATATATATATATATATATATATATATTAAGTTCAATCTTTATTTTAGTTATGTTAATATTAAAAAAAGCAATTGCTTTTACTGAGTAAATGTTCAGCTTTACATGAACAAAAACTTCAGCAATTTTGCTCAAACATTTATTCACGTAATGCTGAACAATTACTCAGCGTTTTTTGGAGCAAATTGCTTAGCTTTACGTGAATAAAAATTTAAGTGAGTTTGCTAAAATTTTTATTCACGTTAAGCTGAACAATTACTCCAAAAATGCCGGAAGAGAAAAGATAAGATTTATAAAGCAAGATAACAATTAACAGACGACTTAAAAGATTGCAAATTATATGAATCAGGAAAATAAGATGAGAGAAGCAAATTGTGATATATTACAACTATCTGAAAATCATACCAAAAGGAGAAATTGAAATTATTGAACAGCTTTATTACAGGTAGGTTGATGATAGTTTCAAAAATTTTTTTAAATGTCTAGATATTGTTAGGTTCTAAACATCACATACAGAATTGCATGATTCAATTAATTGATTATATACAGAATTGCATGATTCAATTAGTTTCTTTGTAAAATATATCATGATTGATATATTTTACAAAGAAACAGATAATCAAACTTGAACAGTCATCATCCATATCATACAAAAAAGAACATCCCATAAAACCGTGCAATTGTTTTTACAGTTGCTTTACACAAAAAAAAGTTTAAACTAAATTTAAATTTTCTCATCATAAGGTTGAAATTCTTTTTTTTTCTTCTACAAATTCTACCATGGTTGCTACTCAAACAAGCTATCACCACTCTTTTCATCAAGCAAAACATCAATTCAAAACAATTTTGAAAGACTCATCATTCAGCAAAGTTTCATTTTTTACCTGTTCCTTCGTGGTCAAAAAATATTAATCTCTTTTTTTTTTCCTGTCACATTAATGGTTTAAAACTCTCTCCTATCTAGATGTTTTCCTGACTCATTCAATTTAGAGTTTTCGTTGTTTTTTAACACTATTTTGCTCTTTAACTTTCTACTTTGTTTTCTGTTAACTCCCAAATTTTTAATTAGTTTTAAAAATGTGGAGTAGTGAGTCTAATAATTTTTATGGATGTGGAGTAGTGAGTCTAATAATTTTTATGGATGTTGAATAGTGAGTCTAATAATTTTAATGGGTGTTGAATAGCAAGTTTAAATTTTTTTTTTAGCTATTTTAAAAATAACAAAAAACTTAACTATACCACCATTAAAAAAAAACAATAGAAAATATATATTTATACAAAAACTTAAAATAGAATCATACTTGCTTTAAACCAAATTCATCAATTGTAGCTGAGTAAAGTGGATATTGAGGAATCGGTATCATGATGCCAATATTTTCATTTTCACGCACAAATAACTCTAAGATGAGCTAAAAAAATATATACAAATAAAAATAACATAGAAAAATAATAAAAAAATAACCTAGAAAATATAACGAATTTTAATTTTAGACTTCCAGATGTCATTACACTTTTTATATAAACTGCTTCCACAACAACGATAAACTGCAATTAGAAAGGCCACAGTTTAATGATTTATAAATTAAATTCCTTATTTGAATCTTGCTACTAAAAATGCAGCAATTAAACTAGATTTATTTCTCTTGGAATCATCATTGGAAACATCAACATCTGTGTAAAGCGATACATCTAGACCTGTAATAATAATTTTAAAATATTATATTATTTTGAGCCAACTAAAGTAATACTAAGTTATAATAATGACTTACTTGTTTATACCACTCCCTCCTCCCCTCCCTTCATCATCCTCCCGTGTATAATCTACTATAACGTAAGAAAATTTTTTTCAAATAAATAAGAATACTTTATAATAAATATTAAAATAGCATACAGAAATATTCTATAAAGCATATAAATTTCTATTTTATAATTATATAGTAAATAACTATATTTTTAAATGCTATTTTATAGTAATTTTAAAGTACTTTGTAAAAGTAAAAACAGTATATATTAGAGATACCAACTCAGTTTTCTACCATCTTTTATCAGATTTAATTTTATAGGACAGCTTAAAAATTGAACCAGCTTTTGGTAGAACTTTGGCAAATTTTTTTTTCAACAAAATTTAATAAAAAAAAAACAAGTTTATGTCTATGTTAAGTATTTTAGTATGTTAAGTATTTTAGTGTGTTAAGTATTTTAGTATCACTTTAAATAGTTACAACCATAAATAAAAATAAAAATCCTTCAAAAAAAGACTAAAATACTTTGGGCAGAGAATTTTATGGATTGTTTAATTTGACTCTGAATGAATATTTCAATTAATGTAATCAAAAAATAGTAATAGCTAAAATAAAAAACACACCACTACAAACTAAATAAACACAACTAACTGATATGCTACAATTATTTATCAAAACATACTAACAATTTATTATTTCATTAATTGATTTAAAGATCTCCAAACTATTTGCAGACAGTAAATTAATTGCAATAACCTAAAGCTGCAAAGATTGAATTGATGATGTGACCTCAATAAACAACTAAAAGATTGAATTGATGATGTGACCTCAATAAACAACTAAAAGATTGAGTTGATGATGTGACCTCAATAAACAACTAAAAGATTAAATTGATGATGTGACCTCAATAAACAACTAAAAGATTGAATTGATGATGTGACCTCAATAAACAACTAAAATATTGAATTGATGATGTGACCTCAATAAACAACTAAAAGATTGAATTGATGATGTGACCTCAATAAACAACTAAAAGATTGAATTGATGATGTGACCTCAATAAACAAAATGGAGCAAAGATCGAAATTTAACAGCAAAAAATCTTTAAAGTTTATGGTGCTAATTCAAAAATAGTAAATAATTAGTGGATTCAACTTTTATACAGAACAACCTATCTATCTATCAACTATCTGACAAAAAAATGCATAGAAAATTAACTGAAACAACATAAAAGCAAGACCTACCCATGAAGTAACAATCATAAATGTTCAAGTATTGGTCCAGACTTATTTGTTTAACTCTATTAAGACCTCAACTAGAACTCTGTGAATGGAACCCTAATACAAATAGTAAACTACTTGAGTAACAGGTCTTAAACACAAACCTTACTACAAAAGAATCAATATTAAGATTAGACACACAAAACCAGAATATCTACCAAATGAGTATTTTTAAAACATATAACAAAGTCAAAAATATATTATAATGTATTAAACAATTATTTTAGTTATTTAGGTAATCTAACAAGTCCTTGTGATCTATTTACAAAGCACCATAAAATAGCATTTAACCTGGAAGTTTATGCCTAAGGTAAATGTTATTCCATGATGTAAACTTTACATATATATCTTATATATATATACATATATATATATATATAATATATATATATATATATATATATATATATATATATATATATATATATATACATACATATATATATATATATATATATATATATATATATATATATATATATATATATATATATATATATATATACATATGAAAATTTTTTTTAATGTTATAGTTGTATAAACTTATTTATAAATATTATTTTAAGTTATTAATTTAAGTTTATAAATTATATTTAAAATAAAAAAACCAGTTTAAATTCAAAAAATAAAAACTAGTATAAGGTTAATTTAAATTTTTTTTTTTAAGATTTTTTTTTTTAAAAGCCATTTGGTTAGTTTTGAAAAAATCTCAATCTAAAATAAAACCAAAATATAAAAATAGCAAACAATCTAAAAAAAAACTATTCATTACAAAATAATGATTACTTTGACAGCGGTACTGGCACCATTTGTAATAATTAAATGTTCTGAATTGCAAGGATAACCATCACGATTACTGATAAACTTAGCAATATCTTTTCGAACAACAGCTAATCCAGCAGAATCACTATAGCAACCAGTACTCTCATTGATAGTACTTAAGATTTCTTTAGCCCTCGAATTTACATCAGAAGGAAAAATATTTTCTTTTATCAATGGAGGATATGAACATGCTGCAAGAAGCTGCAACAAAATGATATTAAAAAATGTTTGTTATATATTAATAAAATTAATAATATAATAAAATAATGGTACATCAATATAACAATGCATATTAATATATATTAATTAAATGAAAATTAAAATATATGTTAAAATGTAAAACATGACTTTCTTTCTAATTAATTATAAAATATGTGAAAACATACCTGTCGAATGAAAGTAATTGGCTTTTGTCCCATGGCATGGCAATCGCCAATATTTGCTTTGATGATTTTTTCAAATGGATGTTTTTTCCCCTAATATTAAATATTAAACAAAGTACATATCTTGAAACAAAGTATAAATCTTGAAACGAATTATAAATCCTAAAATAAAAATTATATATTATATATTAATAACTGTTGAAGTTGTCAATCTCTGTTGTGAGTGGTCTAGAATAGCCCCTGGGTGATTCCATGTGAAAACATCAAAGGCATGCAACCCTAAGTCTCAAATTTTGCTGATTTTTAAAGCACTTAAAGATTTTAGTAAATTATAATCATCCTGAATATTTTATCGTCTAATTTCAATCGGTTCTTAAGATATAGTTATTTTAAGTTTCCCTTCAACCAACAAAAATCCGTCATTTTTAAAAATGGTTTTGGTCCTAGTTTCTGATATATGTGTGTTGGAAAGCTGAAAATTTGTACCTTTTTATATTTTGGGCCAACAAATCCAATAAAACAACTTAAAATTTTTAAAAATGAACATAATACCTAAAATTTAAACATTTAACACTTTTTTATTTTTTTTAGAATTTGTCCTGAATAGTTATGTTATAGTTATTACAAAGAATTGGAGAGTGGTCTTTTCTAAAACAGAAATAAAAATATGGTCAAGTCTACTTAAATTTAGTGCTTAAAAACAGGTATTTTGATAAATTAAATGAGAAATAAAACGTTGGTAATTAGACAGTTTTGTAACTGAAACAGTTTTGGCTTCATCAAACTGTTCTTTTAGTTGTTGTTGCTAGCTGCTTCTGTTTTATTTGCAATTTTATAAAATCTGATTCTAAAAAATTATAGTTTCAAAATTATATAAATGCAAATGTATATTGCACATTTAGTTTTGTTTTTTAGAATTTGTATTAAATAGTTTAGTTGGAGTTATTAAAAAGAATCAGATTGCGGTCTTAAAACAGAAATAAAAACATAATTTTATAAACAGAAATTAAAAATGTGATAAAACTTTCAGTTTAATTCCAGTCCTGACAATATTAATGACAATAAAGGCAAGCAAAGATTTATATTTGCTAATTCCAATTGCCGAATCATTTCAATGCTTCAGCTATAAAAATCTACAAGAAATGCTTGATGAACTTATTTTTTACATGAGGTGGCATGTAATCATTTCACTTCAATTAAAAAGATATTAAACTCTAAAAATCAGACCAGCCTGAGTTAATGTTAGGTTAAAGTTACTCATTAGAAAGAAACAAAATTTAAGATATAAAAACTGCTCATGTAAATGGGAAAATCCAGTGTTGAAATCTAAATACAAAATGATGTAGCAGACGAGATTAAAAATGTGATAAAACTTTGAGTTTAATCTAGTAAAATTCAAGAATCTAAAGCTTCGCTACAGCTACATGAACAACCAACAAACCAAAAATTCTATAAAAGCATTGAAGGGAGCAAATGGTGAAACCACTCAAAAGATATTGCAAATTTCTTAAAAAAAAAAATTTAAGCAGCATTTGTAAAAGAAGATGATAGTCTATTGCTTTCTTTTGATTTAAGAACTACTGGAACATTCATTATGACAAATAAAGATTTTATATATGAAGATGTCCTTCTAAGAAAAAATTGGAAGAAAACAAATCAAGTGGTGTTAATTATTTACATTTAGCTATTTTAAAGAAATCAGTCCGCCATTCCACTTACATATATTTTCAAAGAGTTGTTTCAAACCAGCTAACTGCCAAATCAAATATTATTCCTCTGTACAAAAAAGACTAACTTTTACCGGTCGTAAACTACTGACCGGTATCACAAACTTCAATTGTATGTAAAATAACGGAAGACATAATTAGTTAAATACTTTTTTATATAAGTTCAAATTAATAGTCAAGCAACAGCACAGTTTTGTTAAAAATAAATCATGCTCAACAAATCTACTTGAAATACTTGATTTTATTTCAACCGCCTTAGAGAATGGTAAACCTTTTGATGTTTTTTTTTTATGGATTTTGCTATTTGACATATAAAAGATTATTTCTCAATATAACAGATTATGGAATATCTGGTCTGACAATTCAATGGATTGAAACTTTTTGTACAAAATCTATTCTCCTGGGCAGAAATTACTAGTGCAGAAATTACTAGTGGTGTGCCACAGAGGTTAGTAATTGGACCACTTTTGTTTGTGCTATTTATAAACGCTTTGCCTAAAACTCTAAAAAATGAAACCTAGACGTATGCAGATGACACCAAAATTTTTAATTTTGGTGTCATCTGCATACATTTTTTATTTCCTGTGTATCAACTCTTTCTTTGCAATCAGATCCCAATTTAGGTTTTAAGTGGACTAATGTTTATGAGATTAAATATTTCTATATATACACTTTGGCTAGAATAAATCACACTTTTATATCAATGAACAAAAGTTAAACATATCAGAATCTGAAAGTAATCAATAATCTTCTCAAGCTATTTGAAATGGGAAAATCATGTAACAAGATGCGTAAGCAAAGCGAACCAAATGTTGGGTCGGATTAGAAAATGTTTTGTTAGCTTAGATGTTAGACTGAGAATACTTTATTCATTTTGACTGCCATAGAGTGTTAATATCACACTCATCGGTTACAGCAATTACTAATACTAATATTAACAAGAACCTAGCGAAACTTTATGAAGAATTTGTAAACAATAGGATCACATAAGATGCAATGGAAAACATAGAAATCATAAATATCACCAAAGATTTTCATTTGGTGTCAAATATTGACACTGCTATATTTAGTAATCCATTGTTACTCACAAATGTATCAAACAGTACGCTGTGAACTCCTTTGAAAACACTATATTCATTTAAACCTTTTTTAATTCCAAACTGAATTATTCAACACACCCATTTGAAATTTCAATTCTGTTATAAGCTGAAGGTCATTGAGGATTGGTAAATTCAAAATAACTGCTATATTTTGTCTTGAATAAAAATAATCTAAAAAAAAGTTATCAAAAAATGATAGCTTTTTGTCATTTGACAACAAGTTTTACTTATTAATTTGAATAATTTATTATATTAAGCACATTTAGAGGTGGGAGACAATTAAAAAAAATACTAATAACTAAATAAGCCTAGTGAAACTAAGTGAAAAGGTGAACAAAGCAATAAAAATCAACTAAAAAAAAGGAATATTTTTAAATGAACTGTTTAAGTTTCAGCTAAGTTAAATAATACTCTTCCCATTCTTTCTAAAGTAAAACATTTTAAAAACAAAAAAACAAAAACCATTAAAATCTGTATACTATGATTTATTCCATTCTCACTGAGCATCTTTAAATTCAGTCTGACACCAATTAATAAGAACTTAAATTTCAGACTCTATAATTGAAAACAAATTAATCCTGCAGATTCTATTAAATATCTAGGTATTAAAATTGATTCTTATTGTTTTTTTCAAGACCAGATAATCTAGAAACTCAGCTAAACATATATCATGTTATATATATACATATATATATATATATATATATATATATATATATATATATATATATATATATATATATATATATATATATATATATATATATATATATTTGTACTTTTGAACAATCCATGTAATACGTTTACATTCTTGGCAAATATATCATTTTTGTTGTTGTTGTTGTTGCAAATTTTTATGTTGAATGGACATTATTAAAATATCATCGTAATTAAAATTATGAGGTTTTTAATAAATTTAATAAGCATACAATCTGTGTACCTCTTTGAGCTCTTTATCCAACTCTGCTGCTTTAATTACAATAGGTCCTCTAACTGCATATTCTACTTGTTTGACTCTGGGGTTCATACTTTCAATATTAAGGCCTTCATTTTGTAGTTTTTCTGCATTAGATAAATACGTTCCAGCCATAATCGTTCGAAAATCTATGGAACGTAATGAGCTACAAAAACTACGATTACGAAGCTTAAAAGCATTCAGCATTGCAACGTTCTCACAAAAGTACGAAACTCACTTAATTTACCCGACTTGGCACGTGCGACATATGTTTAATAATTACAATACGAGTTTAGTGTCACTTCCGTTCCGCATATTATAACCAACTGATCAATTTTGACAATTTAAACAAAATGTTTAAATTTAAACATTTTAATCAAGGCTGTGGAGTCGGAGTCGGAGTTGCAGAGTTGTGACATTTTTAGTGGAGTCGGAGTCGCTAAACAAAATCGCGACTCCAACTCCAATAGTAAAACTTCTCTTGGTATAGAACGTGCATCTACAAAACACTCAATTAAACCTCAAAGAACGTTTCATAAATTTGTCAAAATAGAAATTATTAACTTATCATGTAATATTTTTTAAAGAATTCAAAGAATTTTTTAAAAATTTTATGCTTTGGAGTTGGAGTCGGAGTTGTGCTAAAACAAATTTCAACAACTGGAGTCGGAGTCGGAGTCGTTACTTTTTTTTTACGACTCAACGCCCCTGATTTTAATGTTTATTTAAACATTAAAACGTTTAATATAATTTGTTCTATTTTCAAGTTATAGTTTGTTCTATTTTCAAGTTTAAAAATGCTTTCAACGGCATTTGGTCAATATTCTTAGAAAAATTTGTCAAACTTTAAAGTCCAATATCTAGAGAACCAATAAATATTTAAAAACAATTTTTTTCGGGAGGGGGAGGAGGGGTTAAAACAATGTGTGTGTGTGTGTGTGTGGAGGGGGTTGACAAATTTTTATAAGAATATTGACCAGGCCTTTTATAACTATCTTATTTATAAATTTCATTACTTTTATAAATATATCTTATTTATAAATTTCAAGACCTATATCTAAGAATATTGACCAAATAGTGTCGAAAGCATTTTTAAACTTGAAAATAAAACAAACTGTATACTTTTTCAAGATTTTTTCTTCTTACCTGCCCATTAAACACACAAACGTCTATTAAACATCAAAACAACGTTTCGACAAAACGTTCAGACTTGATCGATTAGACTTAGTAGTTTAGAATGAAATCGATTATATGATTATCCCCCGATTATCGGTAATGGCATATATTCCATTAATCAAGCCCGAGGAGATATACAAACGTAAATTTTGACAACGAGGGTATCAATAATCCCTTGAAATATTGTATGAAAATTAATTTCAAATAAAGAGTTACATCCATAATAGAAGTTTTAATTTGATTATATACAAACGTACAAAACATGTGTATTAAGAACGTTATAAATTCTGATTCATGTATGAGCCTAAACCGTGTAACAATTATGCTAAAAAAACACATCAACAAACAAGCAAATAGCTCCTGGGTTGCCAAACGTCTGACTTTTACGGAGGAGAATACTGCGCCAAAACTATAAAAATAAATTTTTTTACTGTGTTCTCCTTCGTAAAAACCAAATATATGGCTTTTACGAACCTATAGGTTCGTGATAAAATCCAAATAATAATGCTACTTTGTATATATACAAAATCCACTTGAAGAGTTTGTTTTATCAGCTATTTACAGCAAAGCGTTACTTTAACTACAATTTTGTCAAGCTTTATCTCAAATAAGTATTATTAGCCTTATTTGGATTTTATCAAGCGCTCAGATGAATATATTCGTTTTTTGTTTGCAAAATCTGGATATAAACAAAAAATATATCGTTTCAAAGAATGCACTTTTGTTTACATTTGATCAAAATAAAGTCACTATCAGTCTTTTTTCAACCATACTTAAGTATGTATATAAAGTACTTTATTTTAGTAAGTAAGTGTATAAAGTACTTTATCTTATTTCATATAAACTCCATCTGAAATAAGATAAGCATAAAGCAAACTCCTCAATTGTATTTTAAGCCTTTTGTTTCAGTTCGAGCATGAGCAAGAGTCTTTATATTAGTTGCTGTTGTTGTGTTTTTTGTTCTCCCAATCTTAGAACTATTTTAAAGTAAAGCCTTTACTTTAAAATAGTTCTAAGATTGGTAGAACAAAAAACACAACAACAGGAACTAATATAAAGACTCTTGCTCATGCTTAAAGACTCTTGCTCATCCTTTACTAAAGGTGAATTCATGTTTTACAAACAAATTTAAGAGTTTACATTAACTCAACAAATTATTTGAAAAACCTCAATGCAATATGACCTGTGTTGCTTACATTAGTAATGCCACAATAAATTCATCTTAGACCTAGACGAATTTGTTGTAAAACTGTAAAAATTTCATAATTCTTAGGTTTTATTGAATATTTGTACTTATTTAGTTGTCAGTACATACAGGTCCAAATCATCCTTTGATTGCATGATATTGTCAGCAAACTGAAATTCAGTAGAAATTTTTTTGAGGCAATTAGGAGGTATTTAACATAAATATTAAAAAGTTTAGGCCTAACTCTAATTCCCTGAAGAAGTCCATTACTATTTAAACTGAATGCATCTTAAATATTACAGCCGAAAATCAAGGTTAACAAAAATAATTCTGGAACTTTAACAGAATCTGTTAAATAAAAAAAGTTTAGAATATTGATAGATTTCAATATTCTAAACTTTTTTTATTTACCAGATTCTGTCTTTTCACTTTTTTGAGAAGAAAAAAACACTTCTTTTATTAATGCCCATCCATTCTCAGTGTTTTTTTGAGTGAAGTATACAGTTAGCCTAATTGAGCTGGTATCAATAATACTTTAGTTAAACTTTAAAAACAAGTCAGCTGGAGTTTTAGTAGTCAATATATTATGTGAAAACTTAAATAATACTCCTACTTGAGAAAGTCTAAGTTTAAAATAAAATAAAAAAATGATTTTTTGTGACTTAATAACTAAATTTTAATTATATTACTTAATTAGAAGTTTTCTAAAGTTTTCTAACCAGAATACTTTTGTGTAGGAGAGTACAGCAACAAATTAAGTTTAATAAGTTTTAACGTTGTGCTCTCCTATGTAAAAAAAAAGTATTCTGATCAGCTTATTTACATGTAAATGTAATAACGTAACTTATATTTTGTCAACTCCTAAATAACAATATAAAAGTTACTTTTTCGTAACATTACTTGCAAATTGACAATCAACAGAATTTAATTAATCAACATCTTTTTATTTTACTTATTTTTAGGGCCCAAGTTAGATAAATATTTAAGCCCAAAAGTTTAATTATACATTATTTAAAGAAACTTAAAATAAATTCTCTCATACATCTAAAGAAACCCCAAATAAATTGACTTGTATTTTGCATAAAAAACTGCCTTGCGAAGTACCTGCAAAGAGATTGTTTTTGAATGTGAGGGTTTTTTAAAACTTGATTTGTTTAACAAAGTGTCTGTTAAAAGTATATATTTTTAATTTAATCTACATATAGTATTGAATAATTTAAATTTATGATGAGAATATTAAGTAAAAAGTTTGTTTAGTTAGAATTGTATAAATGGTATTTTTTGGTTAGCAAGAAGAAATTAGCAAGTAAAGAAATTTTTTTATACTATTATGTTTAATGCTTCATAGAAACCTTTCCAAAATGGTTGAAACATTTACAGGAGAATCATTACAATATGAAGCCCTGAATGTTGAAAATATGAATCCAAGAATCAAGCAGGTTGAATATCCAATTAAATCACCTATTATAATTAGAGCAATGGAACTAGAAAAAGAACTTAATGAAGTAAGTTGTTTTTGTTTTTTAGGTTCTAATTAATGTTTCATGTTTTACAAAGTATCTAGCATCTATGTCCCCAAAACTACCAAATAATCTAGCATCTATGTTCCCAAAACTACCTTAACTCTCTTTAACGCACTCTCAAATACACTCAAAATTCCTAATCTCTGTCTAAAGTTATCACTTCTTCTCTCATTTCACACCATATATCCATCTGATCATTACCTCTGTTCTTTCATGAATGCGGTAGTAGGCTAGTGGTAGCATTTTTGGCTCACAATTAGGAGGTTTAGGTTCAAATCTAGCACCACACAGAGGCATAAAGTGGATTTAAACTCTGAAAGTAATGTGATTATCCTGTTTTTCTGCACAACAACTTTTAATTCTTTAATCATCCATCTTTTGTTGTTAGAAATGGAGATATTTCTCTAAGGCACACTTTACCTTGCAGAGCATGAATAAAATAATTTATTTGAATGCTGAAATAGAGTTAAAACTAAATTTTTAATAAATAGCTAAAAGTAAAAGCTTTATGAAAAAGCTTTAAATTTAAGATTTCATATCTTTAAAATATTACTTTAACAAAACATAGTTTTGTTAATGAAAATTAGAATTTTATATTTAATATAATATTCAAAACTCTAATAGTTTATTAACTGTTAGAGTTTTATATTTTAATTTTATATAATTTTTTTTCATTTTGAATATCTTTTTTTTTGGTTTCTTTGAAATTTTTGTTCTTTATCATGAACCTATTATGTACATTTGTTTATATATTAGGGTATAGAGCTTACCAGCTTTAATAAATTGGTAGAAGTTTTACTAGTAAATGTTGAAAAATATAGATTAAAAAAATCTTTTTAAATTGTAATATATTTTGATTCCCTGGATTGAGAATGCATTACAATAAATAAAACTAAATGTTATTTTTGTGAGATTTTTTTCAACAAAAAATATGACATTAGAAAGCAAAGCCTCAACTAGGTCACTTTTTGTTAATTGCATTTTTGAAACAATATGTTGCCTGAAAAAATCTTTTCTTTGCATAAAATTTTTTTTCAGGCATCTCCATATTAGATTTATATATTTTAAACACTTATATTTGTTATCATCTCTAAAAATAACATTTATGTTTCCCTGACAGGAAGGTTTTGTTAGTCACCAATATGTGATCGTAGTGCTGTAAACACTAAATTATTTATTTCTAAGTTTCATATTTATTTGTGACTGGTAAGCAATGTACTTATTTATTCATTACTGACACTAGGCATCTTGTTAAATAAGTAAGCAATCAGGGTTGAGGTTTGACTGGAGCCAGGGCCGGGTTTGATAAAAAATAGCCAGGGATTGCTTTATATTCGGGCCGGAAAAAGTATTTTTTTTTATTAACCAAAGTATATTTTTCATTTTTACATATATATATATATATATATATATATATATATATATATATATATATATATATATATATATATATATATATATATATATATATATAATATATATATATATATATATATATATACATATATATATTAGGGTGTCCCAAAAAACAACATTTTTAAAAATAATCTGCTCTCACCCCCTAAATGTGTTCTATCTAATACAAAAACACTAGGTTTAAATTTTTTTTCAATAAAAAATAATTTAAAGGGTCCCTTATTATTTTTATTATTATTAAAAAAGTTGTTTTTTGGGACACCCCTAATATATATATATATATATATATATATATATATATATATATATATATATATATATATATATATATATATATATATATATATATATATATGTATTATATATATATATATATATATATATATATATATATATGTATATATATATATATATATATATATATATACATATATATATACATATATATATATATATATATATATATATATATATATACATATATACATATATATATATATATATATATATATATATATATATATATATATATATATATATATATATATATATATATTCATATAAAAACATCATCATGATCATCGTAATCATGATCGGCATCATTATTATATCATTATTATCATCATCGTCATCATCATTATCAAGCTTTTGTCTTCCTCTTTTGTGCTGTTTCTCTAATATTAACATCAAACATCATATAATCTCGAACACCTTCTTTTTTTAACTAAAGGGCATTCATACAAAATGTAACACACTCTCTCCAAGTTTTCTTACTTCTACCTCCATTGTTACCTCTCTACATACAGATAACCATTTTAATCTTTTCCGACAAATGTTATTCCATACAATGTTTTCTAATCTTTGTCTAAGATTATGGTTCCTTTTCTTGTCTTGTTAGAATCATACCACATCCTTCTGGTCATCATCTTCTCTTTTGAGTGGTAATACTATACCATATAAATACTAAAGTTTATATAAATATGTAAGGATATTGTTTGGCAGCATCTAAATAAATAGCAACCATATTTATTTATATTTATATATATGCATAAAAGCGCTTTTTATCTAACGTTCTAAATCCAAACAGGGTGGAAGCTTTTGTTTATTCTCATTGGTTTAAAGTCATCCTTATTCTAACTGCAGTTTCTATATTTAATGGTAATCATTTTTTTCATCTTTTTTACAAAAACATATCTCTTAAGAAAAAATATCTTTTTATTATTGCAAGAAGTCAATGTAAAAAGGTCCTGTTTGATGCTAAGTTTATCATTTTACTCTGTTTACTAAATCTTGTAACTTATTTCAGATGCTAGGTTCTAGAGATCTTCGGAAAATCATCAACAGCGTCATTAACTAAAGTAAGTCTAACATTCCATCTCTAATTCATGGGTCTGATCTTATTACTTCTCGCCAGAATAAAGCAGAGTTAAATCTAATTACCATACTCTTCCTGCCAATCCAGTTAAACAGGTTTAACCATTTTTAGACATTCAAATCATTCTAGCTTCCAATGTTATAGCCAATTCTAAATTTAACTCTTCTATGGTTTGTGATTCAGAAAACATTTCCAGCATATTCTTACAAAACTGTTTGATTCTATTGCTATTAATAAGTGCTAAGCTATTAATATGTGCTAAATAAGTGGTTCCAATTTTTAAAAGCTCTGGAAAGCACAACAAACTCTCCAACTATCTTCCAATTAGTATCCATTATTAATTTCTTTATATAAATATTTTAAGATTATTAAATCGTTTTTTTCTAACCGCAAGTCATTCTCGAAGGCCTTCAATCTTATTCACTTCCAGTAACTTTAAGGGCACCACAATCTTTGCTCCTGCATTCTTTCTTATCTACAATAAAAAGTTTTCTGTCAATCTTTTAGGTAAAGTGGCTTTATTTGCTGACAACTCAACTTTATACTTTTGTCTGATAAAAAATCTACAACAAGCAGTCAATCTTTAGTCTGAAACCTCTTCTGTAACAGCTTAGGACTTGCGGTGGTTTGTGGATTTTAATTCAAAAAAACTCAGTTATTTACTGCAAACATCTATTGCAATATTGGTGGCATTCCTATATTCATGAATAACAACCCTCTCACTTTTAGAAAAGGTCCTAAAGCCAGTGTAAATGTAGTTGGACCTGCTTTATCCGCCAAGCTTGGGCCACTATCCTATTGTCATAAGATTGCTTCTGTTTCTTTTCCTATAAATACTATCATGATTGCTGCTAAAACGAGCTACCATCTCTAGTTGGATCATTTAAACTCATTTTTACTTGGTTTGTTATTCAGCATGTTTTTACTATATTTGTCCCTTGTGGCTATAAAATTTTTTATTTATTCAGTTTTTTTCCTTGCATATCAACAAAACCACAAAACTCTCCCCCAATTTTCCATATTCATACAAACTACAACTTTTTAATACTTCCGTTGTTTTTTCAAAATGTTAATTCACCTCTTTGAGGTCACAAAGGCCACTTCAGTTAAAGAAGCTACTTTTATTGTGATTACAACTCTCTCCCAACTCTAATCCAAATTTTGTCTCTGGTAGTACCGTGCTTGTTTCTCCACACAGCAGCCTAATTCCAAAACACAAACTTTGACAAACAAGGCTGCTGTGTGGAGAAACAAGCACGGTACTACCAGAGACATAATTTGGATTAAAGTCAGAACGTCTCGAGGCAAGCACTCTACTCTACTGCACCACTACCGCATAGTTATTTTAACATTAGTATAATACATAAACGTTTTCCTTGTTTCTTAACCCAATTATTTTTTTTCTAGTAACTCATAATTTAATAGTGGTTGCTTGTAACCTTGTTGGGAAAGAATTAGTTTAGAAATAGTGGGGCTCCATTCTCTTCTGCATAATACCTCAAGGCCAAGTTTTAGTATACCTGTCAAAGAATCGATTCATTGATTTAAGACCATTCTTCATTTGTGAAACGTATTTCTGAGACAATTAATTTTTTAATACATAACTTTAGTTTATGATAACGTTTCAATATATTAAACTGTTCCACCTCGTCTGAGAATAAAAAATACTCTCTAACTTTTTTGCCTTGTCCTTGTAGGATATACTTTTGTAAATATGTATTATATTTAGAAGGAAAGTTTTTAAAGGTTTTCACGACTTTTCTCACTTTTTCAATAAAATCTTTGTCTCAGCAGATGATTATATGTCAGGTCAGGTTATCCTGCTACTTGTAACATGTAACCCAGTACAACCTACTTCATGTTCTGCTGCCTTGTAGGATACACTTTTTTTAGGCAAAGGCTAGGAAAATTCAATTCCGAATTAAAACATCCCTTGCCTGGGGCTCTTGGTTGATTTCCTTGATTCCATCAACAGCTGTAAAATATCAGAGTATTAACAGTGCCATGTTGTGCATGGATGGTGTCCTTGTTTGTGTTTTTGGTATGCTTTGTCAAGGCCACATTTGGAGCCCTGTTTTATGGCTTATTAAAAATAACAAGGAAATTGTTTAAACTATTAAATAGTGTACTGAATACTACCTGTGCTTTGAATCAAGTTCTTCGACCAATTTAAAAAATGACTAAAGTGCCA